AAGACATACTATGACAACGATCTATTCTCGAAACCTGCAGACTTACTAAATAACAAGGTTAGATAATTTGCTCAATTGTAATTGTTATCATTGTAATCTAACTTCTTTCTAGTTAGAGGCCGATTTCTGGAATGAAGTTTCTGTTAATAAAAAGTGGATTGTTGAGAATCAGATTTCTGGAGAAAAGTTGGGATTGAGCGCAAGCGAACAAAAAATACATATCTTTTTCGATGAAGCTGCTTCTTTACTCAGTAAGTGCTAGCTGTTCTCTGATGAACACGTATTTTTAATTCTGACTCTTGCTCTGATTCTTTTTGTAGATAAAGATAAGACTAATTATGGAAGAAAAAACATACCATTTAGGGCCATTCGTCGAGCACTCAGAGATAATCGCCTTTACGTAGTTGGGATTTTAACCGACACAAACTCTTCCGTTGTCAATCTGGCGCCCTGGAAAGGTATGGACCCTTCAGTAAGCATAAGTGATCGATTGTCTTACCTTAATTGAATTGCAACAGCAAACTTTTAATGCGTGAGCTTCTTTATTCATTATTCAGGCAAGAGACTATAACCTTAAAACGCACAAGCCGTTTATCTACATAGCGACAACAGACTGCTTGAGGTTGTCATCCTTGTTTCTTTTTACGTGACTTTTGTTGTGGTGGATAACTTATCCAAGTTTTATAGGAACGTGAACGGAATCCCACAGATAGAACAGCGTGAAGGATACGATATTATCCGATTTTGTCGACCACTGTGGGGGTCCTATTGGTTAGCAGCACCTGATGATACTGACAAATTTGACAGTGCGGTGCGGCTTGCAATACACAAACTCCTTGGTGGAGCATCTGCTTGGAGTCAAATTGAAGATTATAGGAAAAAACATACAGCAGCTCTCGCTCTAGTTGCCTGCATTGCCTCCCTTTATGTTTCCCCGACCTCAAGCGAAGCATCAGACCTCGTCAAGGCACATATGGGTACACTTGTCGCCATCGATAAAGAACGGAAGAGGCTTCTTGTTACATATCCATCAGAACCAGTTCTTTCAGAAGCTGCACTCGAAGTGCTTTCTGAGGAAAATAGTGAAGTTGAAATTCTGAGAGAACTGGATGGTGCCTTCCAATCTGGTGGTATTCTGGAAGCAGGATGCCAGGGCGAGTTGGTCGCAAGATTGTTGTTGTTGAGTGCTTGGCGTCGCTTGATATACCGCAAAAGAAGCGAAGTGAGAGTATGTATTAATTTCTTTGAACAATATGTCTTTGTCATAGTGAAGAAATAGTGGAAAAAATTTTACACGAGGCTTATTCAATTGAGTATTGCTCGTCCGATTATTATCGACTCATCTTTCTTTTCCAGCAAAAGGTGTCATTTTCGATCCGTCAGCCGGTCCTCGACTTTCTGGATAAACTAATAGTGGATTTTCCAAGGAAGAAATGTTTACAACTTGATGATTTTAGAATAGGATTCACTCATTTTATTTCTCTTACTCATGAGCCAGATAAGGAGACTTGTAAGGAGATATGGAACCGGCGTGGAGCCATTATCTTCAAACGCAATCAAAAAGGCGCAGACTTAGCAATACCCATTATGCGTGAAAGCGATAAGGCCTTGGGTGCTCTGATTTTTCAGGTATAAGGCGAGCAAGTTTTCTGTTATAATGATCCTATGCGACTAACAGGGTGAATTATGTCTGTAGATTAAGAACTACAATAGTGCAAAACAAAATCGATTTGACGAGACATATGCTATCAAGGCGTTATTATCACCCGAAGTGATGTTTGCTGATGATTGTTGTGCTGATATTGAGCAGAATTATCTGGGCATTTTCGTGCATCTTGGTAAGAACTGTTTAACTTTGATGTATCTTTACATTCATTCGTACAATGTAATGAATACACCTATATTGAATGGTATGATTGAATTTATCAATATTTTACACTCTTCCAGGGTCTGCTTATGAAAGCGAATCTGGGACAAACGTGAGCAATTATGATAATGGCAAGCTGTTCGAAGAATGTGATTCTGGAAATCGTCTTATTATCCATGGCCTGAAGGCCTTCAAAATTGACGACAACCATGAAAGCATTTTTAAAAATCTTTTGCGTGCATGGAATGACCCAGGCCGGCT